GAACTCCCGACTCACTATCGGGGTTCCGGGTTTCTTGGGGAGACGTACTGCAGTCTAGCCGTGAGCAGAGCCCTGTTATTTCAGGGAGAGGCGCTATACAGAGAAAACTGTATGGGCGGAAGAGGCAAGAGGCTTCAGGGGCCCTTGCTCAAGGTGTGCTAGCTCACACTTCACTGCCCCCAAGTGGCCAACAGCAGCACAGAGGAGGTGAAACAGGCAGGAGATTCCCAGTGAAGAGGCCCAGCAGTACCTCTTTGTAGACTTCCAACACAGGAAAGGCCCGAGCTCCTCTAAACCAGCGACTGCATCACAGGATTCAGACAACACCCCCCCCTTTAAGTCTGCAACAGCTCCGACCTCCTGGAGAAGGGGATCTCCGGTGCTGGACTGATTTCCGGGAGAAGCAGTTGTTTGCTTGCTGATCATTGTTAGCCGGATTAATTCCCAGGAGAAGCAGCCGGTACTAATTAAACAGGACCACGGGTGACCACCCCAAGCTTCACCAATAAAAACCAGGCTGCCTTTTCCGCAGGTGGTGCATGACTGGCTCATCTCCGTGTGGGAAGGTAGGCTCACTTTCTTACACACTCTCTGCATTCCTCCACAGTCAATTACTTTATTCTTTTCAATAAGAAGTCCTTTTTTCTTAAAAAAATCATTTCAATATACAACACAATTTTTGACAAGACAATTTTGTATACAGCTAAATTGCAGCTTCACGTTACAGCTCATTCAGAACCTAGGCAAGCAGAGACAGAGAGGACCTTATAGAGGGGAAGAGATGGACGGAGAGGGACAGGACAGAGGGAGGAGAGACTGACAGGGGACAGAGCGAGACGGACATGATTAAGGGAAGAGAGATGGACAGGATAGGGTGAGGAGAGATTGACAGTGGACAGAGAGGGGACAGGAGAGAGAGAGAGAGGTGGACAGGAGAAACAGGAGAAACGGATAGTGGAGAGAGGAGGAAAAAGAGAATGAGGGACCAATTCAAATCTTTGTTAGTTCAACATTACAAAGAAATTGACAAACTTTCAAGAAATAAAAAAGTAAGAAAAGCGGAGAAGACAGACAGGGGCAGCTCCCGTCTCACATGCAGTTTTTAGTCTAGTCTGGTTTCTTTCTCGTGAAAAGAAAGTCCACTGTACAGAAGGAGGATCGGTCCTGCCCAGAGCGCAGGGGGGCCCCAGTGAGGGCAGCGCCGGTCTGGGGACCCCCAGCCCCCCGACCTCCCC